ACGATGTTGTGGTCTAATCTACTAACTCGACCTCTTGAAGCCCGATAAAGACATAAACGCTAATCTGCTGTTAACATGAAAGCAAACACCTTACCTGAGAGTCGCGCGTTGCCTTCTGCACCTTCTCTTTATGCGGACCAGCATAACTTCCAGCCCAGGCTGTGATGAGATATCCTGCTCGAATCACCACTCTTGTCATCCTCAACAATTGTGTTTTTAGATCATACGAAGACACCAGTGCCAGAAACCCATAAAGCCACCGTAACAAGTGCAGTTTCTGTGGAAAATATCGCAGTAAGTGAAGAGTGTGACCAAATGTGTGGGAATTAATTAGGCTTCATGCCGATTTAGGCTATCCAGCAGCCACCAGCTCCAGAAGCTCACAAAGCCACTGTCTCTCGTGGAGTATCTTTGGAGAACATAGCTGTGAGATAGTTACCAATCTGGCTATTTTTGAAATCTGCAATAAATAATATTCATAACTAGAAAAGAAGTGCATTGCAGGCTATTCGTCAATCGCCAGCTCCGGAGGTCCACAAACCAACCTTTACTCGAGAGAAATCTGTGGAGAGAGTAGCGGTAAGCCTGATAATTTGAGATCGTGGTCAATTAGTGGGTTGCCTTAAAGACACATTTCGCCACTACCTGAATCAAGATGGAATTCCTTACGGTCCAGTTTGCGAAATTCGTGTTACTTTCGCAATTTAAACGAGGATGACAAGGTCGCCAAAGGCTTTTCCTTGTTTGTGGTTTCCGCCTATGCCAGGCATGCACGTCCAGCTGCCTCTTGACCTATCCTGTAGTACCACCGCTCACTGCTTCGTCTTCCAAGGCTCAAAAGCAACGACGAAGAGGACGCCTCAAAAAGGAGAGCTCTGTAAGGACGCCATGAGAGTTTCGTTCGCCTTCCCCTTTACTGCTTTTCTAGTGACACCTTGGGATTTATATTTGGAGCCATTTGATCACCACGCGCAATCGTGAAATGTCTTTAGTTTCGAGGAAGTAATCCTGGAAATCGAGTTCAGAATTTTTTTCGCCTGTTATCATATTTAACCGCAGTAATTTCAGACTATTCGCCAGTCTCCAGCTCCTGAAACGCATCGAACCAGTATCACTCCTGGAGTATCGCTCGAGAACGTTGCGGTACGTACAGAATTGTCTTAAAAGAGTCACAGAATCGAAAATAGTTGGAACAATCCGCAAGAATCGCATTTTTGACAGCTTTGACGTGTATCATTCATCTCAGCAACGACTCCGCCAGGTGTCGCGGAACGTTCCAGGTGATCGACGATGATTTTCATTGTATTCCCCAGTACAAATTGTTTTTGAGATGAGCTTATGGCTGCCCGAATCGATCATTTGATTTCTTTCATTGAAGTCTTGACTCGGAAAAGTTCTTTCATGGCAAAGTTTACATAGGCGAGATTTTCACGCTGAAACTAAAGAAAGCTAGTCAGTAGTTCCACGAAAAGTGCGATTTTCGGCTTGTTCCAGGTTTTTTCAGTATTGTGCAGTGGTGCTCCGCAGAACTTCTAGTGATTACAGGCTATTCGTGAGACTCCTATGCCAGAGGTTCACAAAACTCAGTTCACACGTGGAGCTTCAGTGGAAAGAGTTGGGGTGAGCACACAACAGTATTTCTGTCAGAACCCACTTTTTGTTGGGAAACGGGCAAGAGAATCGTAAATTGCCGCTTCGTCGCGCGCGGCAGTGGACGCGACGTTTTTTTTCAATTTGCACTACCCTTTCGATTGGAGCATCGGATTTCATGTAGACAAGGACAATATAAGGCCCTTAGTCTATTTTTCTCATAAATTGTCCATTGTCGACCAGTTCCACCCAAAATCGTCGTCATTAGCGGGTGCGACGTCGCACGCGACGCCCACTGGCGCGGCGAATTACGATTCTCTTGCCACATACCACTTTTTATTAGAGCTGACTTCGCGTCAGTGACATCGCACTCGCGCGAATTCAGTTGCTTCCAAACACCTCCTATTAGGCCAATGTTGTGATTAACCTCCTTTAAAGAAATAGACAGGACAAATAGGATCGCTGCAGAAAGCAGAAGTAGAGACCGAAAAACATTTCCAGTGGGAATATCTTTCAACATTCTCCACTTCGTAACTTTCAGGCTATCGGAACTACAGCCGTGCCGGAGTCACATCACGCCACGGTCACGTCGACAGCGGTTGAGAATGCTGCTGTCAGTTGCAGTTTTTCCATTACTTTTGCTTTTCACGTTATACTGTTACCCCACTCCAACACCATTTCCTAATCAAGCGGCTTACTCTTTTTCCACGATTGTGATCTTTGCTCGGCTCTGTAGAGCTTTGGCATTT